GGGGCTGCCCCGGGGCCGCGCGCGGTTCCTGCCTCGCCGAGGGGCTGTGGGTGCCCGGCTCCATCTCGCGCACGCTGGTGAGGCCATTCTACAAAGCGATGGTGTCGCGGTGCCGCTTGGCATCCGGCTCCAGAAGGATTTTTGTGCTGTTGGGCATCTCGAGCCAGTGCGTTTTGTGTTTTCCTGTTCTGCTGCAGCTGAATTTCTCTTCTACTTTGGTGATTAATCATGCTGCTCGCCTAATAATAATAAAAGGGTCTCAGCAGGACAGACAGTGCTCGGCTTTTAATGAGCTGCTCAGAGCATTTATAACTAATTGATACTGAAACAGGCTCCGACAAGAGCTCCCGCGCTCCAAAAAGGGCAGCGCGTTTCTGCTTGGACAAAAAAGTGACGTTTTAAACTGGGGGTTTAAACTGTGGGGTTCTACCACAGTGAAGAAAGCATGGCAGGTTACGTGCAAACTTTTATGTAGGATAAGTGAGCAAAATGTTAGAACTCTTGTGTTAATGGAGGCTTCTGAATGTATCTTTGTGGTCCATAGGGAAGGCTGAAGGATGTAGCAAGGAGATGATGTATCAGCTACTGGCAGCCTTAAAACAAAGTCAGTGTCTCTCTGGACTTTAAAATGTTCCTATGCAGTTTATTTTATTTTTGTTTAATCAAATAAATGTGAGGAGTTTTTCATGGCAAGCCTGTGTTTGCGTTTCTCTGTGTGTGTTACCCAGCCACCGTTGTCTCTCGCGCTCTCTCTCTCCCCGCACGAAGAGGAGAAAACCTCTCCGGAGTTTAACAGGGGGCTGCTGCTCCCCGTTAATGTCGCTTCTAAACACTGGGAGGCGTTTGGTTTGAGCGGGGGGTCTGGAGGAGGGGGGTTTTGGTACGACAGAGCAGCTTAAAAATAATAATGTTGCTGCAGTGTCAGCCCAACTTGTCTGTGACTTGCCATAGTGCGTCAGCCATCTTGTGGGCTGCTGTGAGCGCTGGTTACAGCTCAACTCAGGTATGCAGGCGAGGCCCTCCTGGTGGTTACTCCTTTGGAAAGAAAGGAGGAGAGGGGCAAGATGCTCCTCTGCAAATACACTATGAGTTAAGGCCACCGCCTGCATTGCTAGGTGCGGGGAAATGGGTAAAACACTTCTGCAGACTGGATAGTTGCACTAGCGCTTGGGGCAGAAAGCAAGAGCAGGGGAGAGCCTGTCGTGCCCGCACGCTCTGCTCCTCACTACGTGCTTGAGCAGGGCCCTCCAGCTCACTGCAGCAGCCTCAGCCATGGGGAGGAAGGGATGGGAACGGGCCAAGGCTGAAGGAGGAGGAGGAAATGGCTGTTGAAGCGAGTTAACTTGGTGGAATTGCAGCACGGAGGGCTCTCCCCTTGCTCCTCTGCTCTCCCTGAAGGGAGGCGCTGCCTTCACTGGCCCCGGCACCCAGGCAGGCTGAGGCGGGGCTGCCCTACGCTCACCGAGCCCCCCCCCCGCTCCTGCTGCCCCCCCACCCCCTCTCCCCGGCCCTGCTGCAGCTCTCCCAGGAAGGGGCTCCGGGGCCGCCCCGCGCCGCAGCCTGGTGCCCGGGGGTGGGTGAGGACGGGTCCCGCTCCCTGCTCCCGCCGCTCCAGCTGTGGGGGCCATGGTGCTGGGGCCCCGGGCTGCCGCATGCCTGGCGCTGCCCAGAGGAGGCAGGGGCACTTTTTGCATGTGAATGCCCTGCATTCCTGGGGGGCTGGAGAGAGGCAGAGGAATCTTCCCTATTCAGAGCCCAGACCACACAGCAAGCATCTCAACCTTTTTGTATTTAATCAGTCAATCTGCTTTTGACTGAAGTTGTATCAGCTCTCTGCTCCCCTTTCTTTCAGAAAGGAAAATGTATCGATCCCTCCCATGTCTTGGTGTTGAAATGCAGAGTGAATTTCTCCTTCATGCCTAAGGACAGGGTGAGAAGCACCCAAGGCCCTCAGCAACCGACAGCATCAGCTCAGGTCACGGCGCGCCAGGAAGAAGCCGAGGGTCCCCCTTGGTGCTGTGGTTTTACACCCTCTCCTGCGCCTGAGCAAGGGCGATGCTCCCAGAGCCAGGACCCCTGCGCACGGGGACCTCCCTCCTCCTGACCGGGGCAAGCGGGGACAAGGGGCCCCTGAGAGCCACCCTGCCCAGCCTCGGCTCCCAGTGCCCCCACCTCCTCTGCCTCTCAAAAAGGAGGGAACTTAACAAAAATGTGGTTAAGGAACAAGGGAGGTAAAGTGTCAGTCATTTCTAAAAACAGGCACTGACCACTTTTCCTTTTAAAAATAACTTCCGCACTCACCTCCAAGCATGCCCTTTTGTTCAAGTGTTTTATTAAAAATTTACACAAATGAACACACTCCAGCAATCCTGGTATCCAGGTTCCTACATTAAAAAAAATATACAAAAGGCGAGGCCCTGGAGGAGGGCAGCAGCAGCTTCCCACAGCCCTCACTTCCTCTGCACTGTGGTGAAGGGCGGCATCTGGATGGGCTGGATGGAGTGGACGGGCTGGAACACGGGCTTCTTGCGCAGCTCCGAGAGCGTCTTCACCGAGGGCAGGAGCTGGTTCCTCTTGATGATCTGCAAGGCCAGCTGCGTGTTCCCTGCAGGACAAGGAGGCAGCAAGTGACCCCGCTGCTCCCGGCATGGCTGCACTCGGACCCCCGTTGAGGAGCTGGGGGCTCCGCTCCCGGCCCCGGGGCCGGTCCCGCTGCCCCAGCCCTCTCCCTGCTCCGGGAAACGCCGACGCAGGCGTCTGCGCGAGGCCGGCGCCGAGCAGAGCCGTGCGGGGGCTGCAGCAGGGACAACAGGCTGCTGCTACGGGTGAGACCCACGGCCTTGCACCCAGAGGTGGGTGTCAAAACACTGGCACTGTATAAACAACCACACATGATAACACAACCCTCTTCCCTCATAAATCTGAGCCTATGGTACATTTCAAAATCTAAGACTTTGTTCTTATATTTTCTCCTATGAATATTGATTGTAGACTTGAAAGAAAAAAAATGTCTTCAACGTTAAAAGTGCCTGAAGTTACATTCAACACAGCAGTTTGCGTGCATTAAAGTTTTGTAACATTGGAGAAAGGTGTTTACCATTCTGTAACTCAAGATACACAGCCAGCAGAATAGCCTCTGGAGGGATCTCTTTGGGATGGATCAGCGAAGCCGCCTATGGCAAAAGAAGAAGGGGACGGGCAGGACAAGCACTTAAGACACAAACATCTTTGTATGAGAAGGAGCCTC